TAAAATTAATAATACAATAGTCATTTTGAAATAATTAAAAACTTTTCAAATACCAACTATGTAGACTATTAATTTCATTTCTTTTATTGATTATATGAATTACTGAGTTTTCCAACGTCTTTTTTCTGTATATTATGTATATTTACTTTCCCCTGACATTAACAAAAACGTCATTAATTTTTTGTATTGTCTTTATCAAGATAATTGATTAAAAACAAACTCAAAAAATCTGTTACAGCTAAAATTTAAAGTGTCAAATTTTCCTTTTGACAATAATTTTACTTCAGTACATAAAATTTACTATTATATTTCGTGTCATTATCCGAATTTGTGTTATGTCTATGATTTGTTGCCATTTGCTTGTTTATGAATCAGTTACATTGATGAATGTAATAAAACAATTTAAATTATCTATTGAAATAAATATTTGGGATATTTTAACAAAACAAATAATTATATTTTGATTGTCCAAAAAAACAAAAATGTCAAAATTCTTTGTTTATATCAATAGAACATTACCTCTATGATAATTTATATAATGAAAAATACACATTAGAAGTATTAATACAAAACTTTTTTATAAAACTTGTTTTATTGTGTTCAAAACTATTAAATAGTTTAGTGATTAAAGTGACGACACTAAAAACCGCAATTTGATGATAAAAACACGATCATAACCAATTGATTTGGTTTTATAATAAATATATCTTCATAAAAAATGGTAACTTCAATTTGTGATTCAAATTATTTTGAAATGATTATATCTTATTGTAAATGATACTATTTCAGAACACTGCATATTGGTTATTACTAATAATAACAAAAATGGATGCAAGACTATTTGACATACGAAATTAATGTATATTCGTGTTCAAAACACATAGAACTAGTAAATGATGGAAATCAAGTAATTATTCGATAAAAACCAAATCGAACACGTTAATTCGTCTAAAGTGAATGCTTCATGACGAGATAATATAAATTTTATATTTCAAATGATACGGATATTGAAACAATTATTAAAAAAGCACATACATAAATATTTTTTAAATTATATTTTATAATATTTATAAACTATATAATAGAATATGTTATATTATATTTATAGAATTATGTTTGAAAAAACTAAAATTTCGGGCATATAACGTGATCAAATGAGAGCACCAAAAAACAAACAGAAAGGGATAAAGTAGAGGTTTTATCACAATGATTGAGACTTGTACTATATATTTCAGATAATTGAAAAGAACCATAACTTAAGCACTTTTTAAATTTATTAACATAAAAATTATTAAATATTGATATAAAGACATTTTATAACAGTGAACCTTTTCAAAGTGATACAGTTTAATCACAAAGAATTAAATTTTTTTTACTATTATACAAATTAATATGGACAGTGTCAATAAACTTTTACGACAAATTGACACAATCATAACGTTCTTGACAAAAGTAATATTAATCAAATCACTGAGATAATGTTCAATTGTTATTTTATTGATATATTTGGTGTATATTTTATTATTTATTGTATTTAAATATTAATAAACAACATTCTTTTTATTCTCGATAATAATGAATACTTTTTATACAATTCTCTATAATTTAGTTGGTTAATAATCGTTTATTTTGCATCGGAAACATTGTTTTATATATCCATTATCAATGTTAATTGCGTCTTGGATCAACTTTCAGTTGTTTTAAAAGTAATGTGTGATGGCTTTGTTTTGTTGTTGTGATATATTATGATTTTAAATATTATTTTTTTTCATATTGATACATAAGCATGTTATTATATCTTAATATCAACACACTTTTTTATTTAATTCAATCAATGAAAGCTAATATAACGCTGTTTTTACTTGTCACTATTGTTATTTGTTAATTTTTGTTAAACATTATTTATCAAGTTCAACTTATCCAATATGAGGCTTTTATTATTTTTTTCTGTTTTTATAAACATTTTTTATATTTTTTTGTTGTATTTTTTGTTCTGTTTTGCTTATTTGATTTTTTATATCAGATAAATTTCCACAAAACGAATTTTTGGTAAAAAAAATAAATTAATTTTTTAATGATAATTTTATAATTTTATATCATTTATTTTTATCTATTTTTTCAGGAAAATCACTTAATATTAATTACAAATTATTTAAACAGTTTTGGGACAAATTTTTAAAAAAATGTTAAAAAGAGCAGTGTTGGGTTGTCGGCGAGTTAAAATAAATTTATTTTTTCTATTTCGAATTATATTCAAATAAATTTATAGTAAATAGAAAATTGGGAAGATATTAGGTTTGGTTCCCGAATTCAGGAAATGCCGAAAATTCACCTCGAGTTAGTGGAAATCGAGTGAGACGGAGCATTGAAAAGAAGGCTCATAAAGATGCACTCAAACAGTCTGTTTGTGCACCATGTCACCCACTTTCCAAGTCCTCCCTCAGCGCGGATCCCCCTGACCCCCCCCGCAAATGGGGGAACCACACCCGCGTCCACACAGTACGGACAAGGAAAGTGAGTGACATGGGGACGCACAAACA